GCTGGAGGGCAGAGCCTCCCCCACCCCACACACCCACACCCACCACACACACACACACACAACACACAACACACACACACACACACACGCGGCAGCGTAGTGCTGGAGGGCAGAGCCTCCCCGGGCAGGCTCCCAGAATCCCATCCACACTCTGGGTTCAATGGGGGCCCCACCCCCACCCCGAGATCGACAGATGGGCCACCTTAGTGTGAACTCACCTGAGGGAGGAGGCCAGCAGAAAGGGCCGCAGGAAGCTGCTGTTCAGGAATTGGCCGAGGACAGGAGGCACCTGGAACGGCCCCTTCAGCAGCTCAATGGTGGGCTGGAAAAGCCTCGCCCAGGGCAGGCGGCCGTGGCGGCGGTGGGCCTCAGCATAACCCCGGAGCTCCCCCGGGACCCCGATCCAGCGGGCCCCTGCAGGGCAGCTGGCATCAGCCCCCAGCTCAGCCCACCAACCATCAAGGCCGTCTCCTCTGGACCCCCTGCCTGGAGCCCCGCCCCCAGGACACTGGGTGTCAGGGGCACCGGCCAATCGGAGAGCCTTGCTATCCCCTGGATGGGGCCTGGTCAGTCCCAGGGCCTCTTGCTAGCCTCACCTGTGCCCAGTGGCTGTGCCTGCTCACAGTGGTTCAGCAGGCCCGGGACAGGTCTGGCAGGCACCGTCTCCCGGGCATTGACAACTTCTGTCTTCCCTAGAACCAGGGCAGGACATGCAGGTGGTCAGCGGGCCTTCAGGGCTCCCTCTGGATCCTCGGGGCCAGACCCTCCCATGGGGGCTTTGGGCAGGCAGCTGAGGAGAAGGTGGGGAGGGCAGGGGTCCCGGCAGGCTCTCCTTGAGGCCTGGCAGAGCTGTCCTCGTGGGGGGACCCACCTGTGGCGGCATCATAGATGGTGAAGATGACCCCTCCGCCCAGGCCCATGCTCTGGGGGTTGACCACGCTGGTGCAGACCAGGGCAGCGATGGCAGCGTCCGTGGGCGAGCCGTGCTGCTGCAGGATGGCACTAGAGGGCGCACGCTCCGTGAGGGGCCCCCTTCCCGCAGGGGAAAGGGCCCCTCTGCCGCCCCAAGCTCCACGAGAAGCCAGAATGTTCCCGACTGGCCCCTGGACACCACTACCTCCTTCCTGGCCCCGTGGGTTCAGCATGGGGTTACCAAGTGCAAGGTGGAGGATTCAAACCAACCAGCCACTCCGAGGGAGAAAGATGAGGCAGCCCACTTCTGGAAAGACCGGACCCATTCAGTTCTGCTCTGTCCTGCAGGGTTGCTGTATGTCTGAACTAACGCGGGGTGGTTGTTTGGTGCCATCAAGGCGGTTCGGACCCACAGCGACCCTCTGGACCACAGGACGAAACCCTGCCTGGTCCTTCGCCTCCTCAGGGGCAGTGGGTGTTAGTCAGACTAGGAGCCCTGATAGCCGAGTGGCCTGAGCGTTGGATTGCTAACTGCTACGTCAGTGGTTCAAACCCACCTAGGGAGAAAGATGGACTGCCTCAAAAACCCTGGGAGGGGGGGTCCCACCTGCCCTGTGGGGAACCGACTCCCACCTCCACTAAGCCCACATGGAGGAGGCACACCAACACCCGTGATCCCAGGATGGTATCAGCCAGCACGTGACGTGGGATCCTGGCTTGCAGAAGGCAGAGGATGACGGTGGAAGCCCAACATACAATTGCAGGATGACACAGGAAATGAGCCTCCGGGGATTTCCCTCTCACCATAATTGAGGGACGGGAATAACCTGGTTATCAGACAGAGGGTGTTGGAGAGACGACTAGCGTAGGTTAAAATGATCAAGCTGACGTTAATGGATAAAGTCCCTCGCTCTCCTTTCTGATACACCTTGGGCTTGCTCTGGTCTTATTTTGTCACTGTGGGTAGCCTTCTTGACTCCCTGCTATGTGTTTGTCTATGTTTTCTGGTATATGAAGCCCAGGATAGGTGAATCTTTAGAGACAACTAGAATAAAGGTTCCTGGGGTGGGGGGTGCAAGGGGAGGTGGGGGGGATAGGGGGACCTGCTATCAAGGAATTCAAAAAGGAAGAAAATTTGTTGACACTGATTTTGACAGCAGTTGTACCACATGGCTTGATATGATTAAACTCTGAAATGTTCAGTCAAAGTAGGGAATGGTACGGATGTCTGGATTAGCTCCTAAGAAAAGAAAAGATTCTCACACAAATGAGGCAAAAGTACTAATGGAAGGTGTAACCTGGAGAAGTCCGGGGGAGCCAGTGACCTTGTTAGTGGACAGTGTCAAGTCAACTCCAACTGGACCTGCTTTCTACCATTTCACATTCCCAGCAATGGACAAGGCTCCAACTCTACGTCCCTGCCATCACCACCATGCAACCTAGCAATTCCGCTCCTAGGAATACCAGGGGTTCCCCCACCCCACCCCACCCCCCAAAGCGGAATTGTTTGCCCCGGGTGGAGTGGAGCTTTTGTAGTATGCATTTTTCCCACTAGGTGAGCTTCGAGGACTCACTCTGAGTCAGTGCACCCAGTGGTGTCACCTGGGAAGGTTCTCTCTGGTCACAGTGAACTTTTTTGTAAAAGCATTTTCGCTCAGAGCTCGTGTTTTGTGATGGCCCATTTAAAAGAACAGCATGCAGCTGTGAAATTTTGTTTCCTGCTTTGGAAAAAAATGCCATAGAAACTGTTGCGATGTTGAACTCGGCTTACACCGATAGTGCTACGGGAAAAACTCAAGTGTAGGAGCAGGTTTCTCTTTTCAAAAGGCGAAATGTCGATTGGTGTCTGGAGGTCCATCAGTTTCCTGGACAGATGAAAATGTCCACTCGTAGTGCATTTGGAGTTCATTCCACCAGGTCAGACTGTTAATGAAGTTCTCTCCTTAGAGGTTCTGAAAAGATTGCGTGTAACAGTGTTTGACAAACACGGCCTGATTTGTGGCAGACAGGGACTGCACGGTGACAACGCACCTGCTCATGCAGCCTTCTCAGGACACTAGTTTTTGGCAAATCACAGCATGCCTGAGTTAGTTAATTGTGCCAGCCTGGCCGATAATCACATGTGGTGCTGGTTGAAAGGCAGAGGGATAAATGGGTGGTGAAGCCTC